CTGGAAAATCAACACCGGTTGCATAGTATACCTTTAACTTATTTCCTTTTACTGTGAAACATTTTACTTTTGCACTTTTTCTATTCTCACCCTTTTTAATTTACTTGACAAGACAAGGCTTAAAATATCTTGATGTAATATTTTCTTCATTTGTGAACATTTGTATTATGTGGTATTCAGAGATTTTCTGTAGTTTTTATGTTGTTTGTCTTTGTTTGTTTTTTATACTGTGTCTTTTTCTGATGACTTTAAATTAACTTCATCCAGGATGTTTTGTAGAAACCAATACATTCTTTAAAATAAGTGTTTTATATTAAATAAACATTTTATAAATGAATATTTCTTTCTCTATTTCTTTATTAGAGCGTAAGTTGGATCTAGACGAGAAACCTTTGGTTTTACAACTGAGCTGGACGTCAAACAACCGAGAAGGACAATTTGTGCTCAAAAAGGATCATGGCAGTTTGGAGGTAATCCTTTAATCCTTTAGTTTTTTGAGAAAATCGGATTCTAAATAAAGGTTAAAAAAAAGGTTGACCAAATCAAGATTTCCGGAAAAAAAAACACAATATGTTGATACCATATTCATCTAATTTTTATTATAAATAAAAAAAAAATATTACCTTTTCTAATGATACAAACATGAGGAAATTATCTGCTTGTTTAAATATATAAAAAAAAATCTAATTAATGTTTTCAAGAACATTTTTTCCCAGGCACTCTCCCAATAGTAATAGTAGATGAAATGTCACCCTGTGAGTTTGACAGAGCAGCTGGTGTAAAAACGGGGTTAAACATTTTCAGAGCTTTATTAAAGGTGCATTTTTTTGACATTTTTTATAATCTTGTATATGACATCAAGATTAGCACTGATACTAATTAATACAACTGGTGATCTGGCTTGGCGACAGTGACCTACCCACTGCAGTTTATATAAACTCGAAACTAAAGTTTAAATTTCCCCTCCATAGCGTTAATCTGTTAGCCTGGTATCGACATTATCACATTTTCGATCAGTCTGCCAAACATCACAAGATTTCAAAACCAGATTGATTTTCAAATTCAAAAGGATAAAGTAGAGCCCCTACCATTTTCTGCCTTCCTGTGATAAGCTTAAGTTTCCTTCTGGTCGATTCGCTCACAAACTGGCGTAACTCTCCCAAAGTGTGCATAAAATAGCTTCCTGTGACATTCAGTTTATTTATATTCACAACACGTCCTCTCAAGGCACTTTACAATTCCATCAGATCATACATTCAAATTGAATCAAAGTTTTCTATCTAAAGAAAACTAGATAATTGCATCGACTCATTGACTCGAAAGCAATCCATCACACCAAGCACCAAGCATGCTTGTAGCGACAGTGGAGAGGAAAATTTTCCTTTTAACAGGAAGAAACATCCAACAGAACCAGGCTCAGCATGAGCGGCCATCTGCTGCGGCCGACTGGGGTTCAAGGAGACAGAAGAAGAGACACAAAAAGCAGCTGTAAAAGGCGGCCCCGTCCAGGAAACACACAGCCAGGCAGACGAGCTCCAAGCCAGCTCCCATG